GCGCCATCGGGCCGTGCAGGGTGCAGACCGTCTGGAGCTCTCTTTGCACAGAGGCGGAATCTCGGGGGACGGGGCGCGGATGTGGGAAGCTCAAGGTCCGTGCTCTCAGCGGGGATTTGGGGTTCGGTACCTCGGACAGTGCTCACAGATTTTTTTTTTTTTTTTTTTTTTTTTTGGTCGTTGCTGCAAGAGGCTGCCGCGGGCACCTGCGGGGACCTGGGTTGGTTGCGCTTCCGCCTGGTTGGTCAGCGGCATCCAGGGACTGGAGCCGACGGTCCGGGCCGAGGCGCAGGATGTGGGAGGGCCCGGTGGCGCGGAGGCTGCGGTTTTAACAGTTAGCAGGAAGGCAGCTAAAAATAACCGGGCCTGGCCGGCGCTGGCTGCCAGCGCGGAGGGAGGAGCCGGGGGCGGCCCCGGTGGGCGTGGCTGCTCGGCAGGACCCTGAGCAGCGCCTTCCTGCCCGGACCCCAACCCGCAAAGGTCAAACGCGCAGACACGGACACGGAAGAGAGGTGTCCGGGCCGGGCAGCGGGCGCGGGCGGCCCAGGGGCCGTGGAACTCCCTTTCCGGAGGATTGGAGAAGCTCTGAGGCTTCCGCAGCCCACCGGGAGGCTGACGCAGGAGATCTCAAGTTCAAGCCCAGCCCGGGCACCGTAGCGAGGCCCTGTCTCCAGATGAAAAAGGGGCTGGGGATGCGCTCGGTGGGGAGGCCCTGGTTCAGTGCCCGGCACTGAGGAGAATTCTAGAAGCGGACGGCGATGGTTACACGGAGTCGTGAGCCCTAAATGCCGCAGAAATGGCCACTTCCCGAGAGCTAAGGTGGCAAATCAGGTGTGGCCTGATTTTTGTGACCATAAAAAGCCTCCAGGTGTGCCCTTTGCACACGGAGCAGAGTTCCCCAGCTGAAACCACAGTTTAGTCCAAAGAACATACGGCATGGCGGCTATGCTTAGTGTTGCAAAACTGACTTTTTATTTTCTGGTACTGGGGATTGAACCCAGGGCCTTTGCACCCGAGCTGCATCCCTAGCTCTCCTACTGTTATCTTTATTGTCATCATTGTTATTATTATTAATTTTGGGACCTGGTCTCACTGTATTGTTAGATTGCCCAGACTGGGGTTGAAATTGGAATTCTCCTGTCTCAGCTTCTCAGAGGGCTGGGATTGCAGGAAGATTGACTTTCTCTGAGTAGGGAATGATCTTTCCGTGTGTGCAGGTGGCAGCTGGGACAGAAGGAAACACTGCAAGCAAAGAGGGGCCTGACGGGGTGAGGGCTCTTAGACCAGAGGTTCCGCAGTGGCAGACAGGAAGGGCGTGGGCCGGGCCCGTGGGGTGCAGAGCCTGTGATCCCCGCGACTTTCTTGCTTTTCTCTGATCTTTCTCCTGTGCTGTTTTGGAAAGGGCAGCTGGGTTCATGGGGAGGGACTGAGTGAGACCCTTCAGTTCTTGTCTGGCTTGGATGATGGGTGGTCTGTATGTGATCTTTGTATTTTGGGGGGGGGCAAGATCTGAGTTCTTTGTTCCCTGTTGAATTTCTTTTTTCAGCCCCAGATTACTGAGCAGAGGAATCTTGCCCGCCTGAGCCTGGCTGTCCTCGTCCTGTTTGTCCTTGGAGCTGTGTTGCTGGATGCCTGGAAGGGCAGAAGTGGTCTGTGAAGTGTGACCCGTGAGTCCAGGCTGAGAGCATCCCTAACCCTTCATGGTCCTCATCAAACACTGTTATAAGGAGTCTGCAGGCACTGAGAACCATCTGTTTTTGCCCATTGTGGGGGGATAGAATGGCACCTCACGGATTCTGCTCCAATTTCAGTATTAAACACACTGTCCTTTGGGGAGAGGGTCCCCGAGTGCCAGAGCTTCTCCCTCTCTTGTCTGCTCGCCCCTTTCTGACAGCACCCTCTGATGTCTGCATCTCATTTCTCCCTACTGTGGGTGGTCTTCTGTCCCCCTCTTCCTCCTCATACCTCACCTCTGACTGCCTCCTTTATGACATTTCTCCCCAACACCCCCACTAAGCACAGCCCCGCTTTTTGTTTCAGTTATTCGCTCAGAGTTGGAAGCCCAAATCGATGCCCTGCTTGCTTCTTTCTGTAAGCTGAGATTTCTGACCTTTTTCCTAGGTCAACCTCAAAAATAAATGCATCAGTGCCCCTTTCCCTTATTTGGCAGACCTCAGCTCCCTGTGAGCCTGGTGGTTCTTTCCCCACTGGTATCTGGGAGGCTGAAAGCCCCAGGCTGCCTCCCCCTGGATGTCATAGCAACCTGGCCTGGAAGTGCCTCCACCCCCGAGCGGGGCCTCCCCACTGGAGAACACAGCCTTTGGGCGCAGTGAGTCAAGCTGGCCTTCATGAAGCAGCGGAGCTGGCTATGCCGATGCCGGGTGTGGGGACTGGGGACACAGCACTCAGCACGGGAGCTTGGGGACTGGGGCCCAATGGCTTTGTTTTTTCCTTTTGTTCTTTATCAAGCATTCCATGCTCTCATGGGGAAGGATGAGGCATAGGTGGAGGAATTTAGTCCAAAGTCTTATGTGACGCTGGTGTCCCTGAGTCCCGGAAGTGTGAGAACCTGCAGGTTCTGTAGTGCACACTCTGGCTGTGGCCTGGCACCAGCCCTGGGCCCTGTGGGTTCATCCGTGGCCTCCTGGCCCAGCTGGAGCCCTGAACAGAGGCAACTCCAACATTCACGGTGTTGCCTGCACCTGGGTCACTTGTGCCGCTCCAGGGACTTTGTCCTTCTCCTGAAGAAGCAGCAGCATGTGGTGGTCACAGCTCTGTTCCTGGCTGTGGTGTGTGTTGATGCCCAGGGACCTGGGTTGAGCTCAGGGTCCTGGGCTTGTGGGTGGCGTTGGGCTTCTGTGTCTCAGGGTCAGGGTGGCCCTCAGCCAGATTGGAGTCCCCGGTGGATGTCCTGATGTTTGGTACCTGGAGCAGCAGCTGGAGGTTCTGGGGCTTCAGGTCACATAGATAAGACTCTTGGTGTGTGTGTGTGTGTGTGTGTGTGTGTGTGTGTACCCTGTGTGGTGTCAGTAGATTGTTGGTGTGAGTACATCTGCAGCCAGAAATCTCCAGGCCCCGGTGGGACAGGTCCTCTGGGCTGAGCACCTGAGGAGGTGCTTCCTGTGAGGGAGAAGTGGGGACTGGAGGGATGTGTCCCACGGGGCTGAGCTGTGGGAGAACCGGTCTTCAGGCACGGCTGCAGCCCAACCTAGGGGGCAGTGTGAGGCCGGGTGCTCCTTGCACAGCGCTCCTTTCCCTGGATCCCTGAAGTGCACAACGCTATCTTCTTGCCCCGTTGGTCTTGCGGCCTTGGTGAGGACACAGAGCTTGTCCCAGAGGCCCAGACTCCAGGGCTGCTGGGGACCCGCTGGTCTTGACCACCCTGCAGCCCTTCTCCAGTTGCCCTTGCTGCCTCCCCTGTGATAACCCACTCATTCCTGATACCCTGGCCTCTCCATGGTGACTCAGCACTGTGAATCACGGCTCTGGGAACGTGTGGGTCTGATCTGTGCTGCATCACCATCGGGGTTCAGCCTGGGAGCTCATCTCAGTGGTCCCTCAGCCTCTCACAGAAGGAGAAGGCATCAGGTTCCCAGTGCTGTGGCCTGAAACCTGATGCTACCAGTCGTGTGCCCCTTTGTTCTCAAGGGTTGGCAACTGCCCTGGGCAAACCCTGAGTCCTGGCTTTGAACCTCAGCGCCTCACACCCTGGATGAACTGCTTCACCTTAGGGTTCGCCCTTGTGATCTGGTGGAGGTCGCCTCTCTCTGTGCTTTGCGGGCACCTGGAAGTGAATTTTGAGTTCCAAGGGTAGGGAGAACAATCACAGAAATTCTGGTGAGTGAGGGCTTAGGGAGTGTGACTGTGGGTGATGGGCAGAAGACACCCCAGGGGACCCAGATGGATGTGTGTGGAGAGTGATCACAAAATCCGTACTGCAGAGGGAGCGATGGAGGAGGAGCTGAGTGAACTTAGGATCCTCAGCGTTGAAATTGTCTTCTCTCCTGTCAGATTGAAGTGGCGAACACACCGTCTCTCATGCAGTCATCGTGTCAAGAGGAACTCCACATCCTCAGCATCACACAAGAGCACAACTGCATTTGCATCAGCAGGCTGGGGTGCCTGTGGGATTTGTTCCAGGGATCAGGTGCACTCCTGAAACGCCTCTTTCAGCACCAATGGAACGGACAGCGCCAGCCTGTCAGGTGCTTGTTTCCAGAGACCTGAGGAACAACAGAGATGCAGTTTTGGTTCCTGGGTAATCACCTCACACATCACCAAAATCTCAGCACTAAGGCTTGGTTTGGGGCCCTCCAGAAGCTGTCCAGAAAGTTCTTGTAAGCTCACGCTTTGAGCAATGATAATTCGTGTCTTTTTTTGGGATTCCATCATCCAGCACGGCATGTTAAATCTCACCTGAGGGTGTTGTTTTGGTTATTTTACCCCTTTTCCATAGAATTTGGTGCGAAGCCTAGGATAGGCACAATCACTTTGCGGGCCAATGCAGGGGCGTGAACCTATTTGAATGGTCATCCCTGCAAACAGTCTCCCACCTGGCTTCCTGCACAGTGTGAGTGTGAGTTCACATCACAGACCTCGTTCCCGAGGGGGATGTGGGTTTCGGAGAGTGGTTGTCCTTTTCTAGATTTGAACCCTTGCTTTTACCAATAAAATCCTTCCCCGGGAAGAAAACAGCTCCACCCAGTTTAATGAATTATCCTGGAGAGAGCAGGGGACCCGTTATGTTAGGAAATACATCACTGGTTCGATTTAGAAGTCGCATCACATGCTCTAAAGGGACTGAAGTTTATGGTTATAACCTGTAGTGAAACTAATGGGGCACTCAGGTTCCATGCTGCATTGTTTGTCTTGTGTGAGGAACCAAGTTAAAGGAGGAGTGTGCTGAGGACAGGTGCTGGGACGTAGGGAGAACTTGTTCAGATGGGAGGGGAGCAGGGAGGGGGCAAAGGAAGGGAAGGGGAGGAAAAGGGAACAAGAGAATGGGGGGAAATCCCACAAAGGAAGCTTCTGCGAATAAGGAGGGGAAGAAGGTTGAAGGGAGCGGAGGGGAGTGGGAAACAGAAGATACACTGAGTAGGGTTATGCGTTCCCCACGACGGACGTGGTCAATGCGTATTTCAAATATGTACTAATAAAAACGAGTAAGAAAAAAGTATGTTTAATCACACACACATTTGTGTGACAAGAGAGAAGCCATCTGTTGTCTCCTTTATTATGCAGGAAGTCTTCGCTATCTGAAATATTTATAGAGAAGTAAAGAAGGTAAAGTTCACAAAAGGCCTCTGTAAGAGGACAAGTATTCAAGACTTTCAGTATCTCCCAGGTTAGGGAAAGTTCACGCCTGTGCCAAGTGGACTAGGTTCCCATTGCAAAGGCCTTGAGATGCGCAGCCATGTTGGGACAGGAGAGAACCCTCGGGGTGCCGTCACTCAGGGCATGTTGCTCCCTTTGACCACATTGTATAGGTGCTATTGGCAGACACAGTGCTGGGGTGGTATCCTTGTTCCTGGCTAGATACACACCACAGCACCTCGCCCTCTTGGACATAAAAATTGACCCCTGAAGATTCCTCCCACACCTGCACTAACCTCAGTGGAATTTATATTTATAAGGACACAGAAGAGCTCAGCTACCAACAACTCCAAGTGTGTGATACAGTGTCGTCCTCTGTACACTGGAGCTTCCTAGTGGTTATGCAAATTCCCTGGACAGAAGGTTCACCTGCTTCTGACCACTGGTCCCCAGGCACCTGAACTGGGACCACATTACCTTTTCCATCACCCTTGGCTTGGTTTCTGCCTAAGGATCCTCCACCCTAGGCTGGACTGTGGCTTCCGAAGATGGGATGCAGCCTTTGTGCTGTATCTCACCTTATTGTGTTGCTTCCTTCAGATCTCACAGAGTAGATGTGCAGATTGCAGCGGATGTGGCTACCCACGGGTCCCACAACAGCTCGCCTGGAAGGTCAAGCAGGAAACCCAGACAGGAACTCAGAGATGTGGGGGAGATAGAAGGGCAGGGCCTGGCCTTGTTCTAGAGCAGTGCCCCTTCTTGTTTAGCAGCTGGTGTTGGCCGCCAGGGGCCCAGCCTGCCCATCCCCTGATGTCCCCAGTGCAAAGGTGTGAGACGCCCGCTGAGCACTGTGGAGACCTGGGCTGAGGCAGCGCCATGCCCCCTGGCCTCGCTCTGCTGCTGGGACTTGGTGAGCGCTGTAGGGAAGGGAGGTGGGGGGCGGGAGGGGAAGAGCTCAGAGATGGCCGAGTCCATCACCCAGGCTCCTCACAGCGCTCTTCCTCCGTGAGCTCCTGGCCGGGGTTATTTGAGGCCTTTGGCTCCCCGACCCCAGGTCTGTGTCCTGAGCCCAGGGGCGGGGTCACCGGGTCCCAGGCAGGCGCCTCTCACCAGCTCTCTGTTTCAGTGTCTGCTCTGGAGCAGAGGATCTGGGCCGGCAGTGGTGAGTTTCCCTGCCTTCAGGGCTGGGAGCTGGGAGTGAGGCTGGGCGGAGGGTGGGCGGAGCCTGAGGGTGTTGGGCTGAGGCAGGAGGAGCCCTCCCTGTGCTGCCATCCACACTCTTCCCTGAGGAGTCACCATCAGGGCCTGTGGCAAACACGTGAGATGCACTGGGACGTGCACAGGCCTGGGGACCTCGCACAGGACGCTGTTCCCTGAGGACAGAGTGGCCACGGTTCCAATGAGGCTGTCTTGGGGATGCTTTCAACTCTCTTATCCCCGAGAAGTCATCTCAGGTCAAGGCTCCCTCATTTAGGACACAGATTGAAGTACTACGCAGCGCCCCATGTGTGTCTGCTCTGTGACCCTCTCTGCAAGGTACCTTTGCCTTCGCCACCCAGTGTGTGCTCGCAATAGCAGAACATCAGGGTGTTTCTCAGTGGGCACAGAGAGCAGAGAGCAGAAGTCGTGAGGCCCTCGCTGCTGTAAGGGTGGGCACACAGAGGCTAGTGCTGCTGGGCAGTGCTCATGTCGCTGTGTTTCCACAGAGTCAGCACTGTGATACTCATTCTCTCTCTTTGCTTCCCCAGGAGGAAAGGTCATTCCCACTCAGTGCAGATGTATCGGTCCTGCCTGTGACCCCAGCATTTCTATGTGTGCCGGGGACACCCAGACTCCCTTGCCCTCTGAAAGAAATGAGAAGGAACACGTTGGTCATGTACACAGTGCTGTGTACGGAGGAGCTGGATGCTGAGGAGAAGTGCGAGGGAGGAAGGGCGGGGAGTTGCCACGGGGACACTTGCAGGCATCATTGGCAGGAGGAAGGTTGCAGGTTGTGGGAGGGGTTTCCTGGTGCTGTGGTGAGAGACGTCCAGGGGGCAGGGTGGAGCCATCGTGGGACACTGTGCTGTTGGGGAGAGTCCTGGGGTGCTGGCCTGGCCTTGGCCTTGGCCAGAGTGTGTGTAGCAATGGGGCTGTGTGAGGATGAGGTCCGGAGCACAGTCAGCACCTGCAGAGCCGTGTGGCCAGCATCAGTGCTCAGGGGTCTCTGTGAGTGACAGCAGAGCCACCGTAGGCTGATAACAGAGGACAGAGGTGATGGACATATTTAAATAGGATCCCAGGCTCCAGGGTGAGGATGGGGCAGGGCAGGGCCTGGGGCTGATGTGGAAGAAGATAGAGGAAGGCACCACACAACGGTTCAAGGAGACATAACATCCACTGGGCCCAGGCCCATCGGGGCAGCAGAGTAATGGGACAGGGGATCCACAGGATTCCTTCCCAGGCTGGGGCGAGGGGTAAGAGGCAGCAGCGCAGGGCTAAGGAAGGACAATAAGCAGTACGTGGACCAGGCCGGGGCAGTGGGTGAGGTCTTCGTGAGTGTGCAGGAGCCGAAGTTCGTGTGTAGTTACTCAGGAGAGGGTAGGAGGAGACTGAACTGCTCTGGAGATCAGGTGTGTGTGTGTGTGTGTGAGAGAGAGAGAGACAGACAGACAGACAGACAGAGATGAATATACACTCACACAGGGATGGGTACAGGGATACTAGATGTAGGGGGAGACCCCTGAGAGGTGGTGGGTAGAATCCCGGATATCTCAGTGGATAGCGAGGTGAGAAATGATAGATAGTTGTGTGCTGGAGATGAAACTATACACACAGTCTGCCAAAAATGTGTACACACTGAGGGAAGAGAAACGTGTAAATAATTTACTACTAAATTTATTGAGCCATCATGAGATTAATACAAGTTCCTCTGGCCTTACAAAATTCCGAGAGGTGCTCACGGTGCAGGCCTTTCACTTCCAGACATTTATTAGCACAGTGAACTGCTGAAGTGTGAACTTTCCCCAGACCCTGTACGTATGAGAAACATACTGAAGAAGGACCCAGCTACACTCCCAGCACACGTGTGTGGAGAAGGCGGGAATCAGCCGGGGAGCAGACTCTGCTCTCCAGGGAGATGAGCACTGGGCTCCGGGAAGCCAGGGCAAGGGCTGCTGTCGCAGGCGGGTGGTGTCACAGGCTGAAGATACACGCAGACCTCACTAGGACTCCCTTCAGGGTGAGGGACAGCAGTTCCTCCACTGCCTGGGGTCACGTGTCAGCCCAGGGAGTGAGCCGGGTTCACACCCAGGTGACAGCTGAGATCCCTGTTCTGTCCCACAGCCAGCGCCGGAGCAGCTTGGGCGCCTTGGGGAGGGGCGGAGGGCTCTCCTTCCCTCGCAGCCCTCGGGATCTTGTTCTGTTTCCAGGCTCACGGTCCCAGCCCTGCATCTGGGCAGTGCCAGGAGCCGTGATTCCCTGGGGCGGTTCTGTGAGCATCTTCTGCAGGGCTCCTCCAGGGGTGACTGCATTGCGTCTACAGCATGAACCACCTGGAGAAATGTGGTATGACGGAGACGCACAGGGAGCCCCAGATGTGGAGGAATTCTTCCTGCGGACAGTGACACACACCGATGCAGGGATTTACTATTGTGATTACTGGAAGCGAGGAGTCTGGTCAGAGCGGAGTGAGTCACTGGAGCTGGTGGTGACAGGTGAGGACACGAGGGACACTGTGCCTGCCTGGTTCTCTGCATCCTCCTCACCGGTGCAGATGGGCCCCACCGTAGACCCTGCCCTGTCTCTGCCTGTCTCTCGGGCACCCCTCCCTCTGTGCTGCCCGGGCTCCCTGCTCCTCAGAGCGGCAGCTGGATTCCCCAGGAAGCACCGCATGGGCACAGGCTCCTGCTCCTCTCTGGTGCTGGCTCCTGGGAAAGTAGAAAGGAGGACTTAGGATTTTATCATCCTGATCCCTGCCCTGAGGCAAAGTGTGAGTTTCTTCTCAGCTTCTCTGTTCTCTCTCAGGCCATGAGGAAGGTGGGGCTAGTCTAATAACGATTTTAATATCAGGATCTACTCCCTTCCAGGGGTCATCAAGGACAAGCCATCCCTGACTGCTCACCCAGCTGCCCAGGTGGCCTCAGGGGGAACCGTGACTCTCCAGTGTCAGTCACTCTACTCCTATGACACCTACGTCCTGTGCAGGGGAGGAGGAGCTTCCTTCCCCCAGGACTGTTCTCGTCAGCACCACAGCTCCTTCCTCATCGCCCCCGTGAGCCTGGACCAGGCCGGGACCTACACCTGCTATGGCTCCCATAACTGCAGCCCCCAGCAATGGTCCCTGCCCAGCGACCCCCTCCAGCTCTCTGTCACACGTGAGTCACGTTACTTCGTGTTAGGGGAAGCCTCTCGGGGGGCCTCTCAGCTGTGCTCTGCGTGTTGTCACTGTTGTTAGTGCTGTTGTGTGCTGCTCCCTCAGCCCGTCTAATCCACCCCTGTTGATTTTAGACCCTGAACATCAGTATCATTATCACCATTTTTGGCAGGTGGCAGTAGGTCGTTTTGGGGAAGAGAGATCTTTACAGTGTCCCAGAAGTGCTGTGTGACCTGGTGCCAATGCTGGCATCCTGTGAGAAAGGTGATGCACCTCTCAGCTGCTGTCTGTGTCACCCAGCACTTCCCGCCTCCCCAAACTGTCCCTGTCTCTGTGTGTGGGTGAGGGCAAGGGCATCACCAGCTGCTGGTGACAGGAAAGTGAAAGGGTCTCTCCCAGTTGTTCTAGATGACTTCCTGGGTCTCTGTGTCACCTGCACCCTTCTGAGCTGATGCTATGACCCCAGTGGTGTCTTTATGGCCACCACAACAATGGAGAATGCAGGAAGACATTCATGGCGGGGTTCCCAAGGTGGATTCATGGTCCTGATGCTATGGGGTCATGCAGGAAGGGACAGTGTCCTCCTCCTTGGTGGATGGAGCTGAGCTCTGTGGGCCTTAGCTTTTCGAGGCAGCTGGAGCTTTTTGGGGCCAAGGGAGAGAAACTGTCCCAGTCCTGGGAACAGAAGGATAGAGCACAGAGGGTGAGATGGCTTTCCAGGTGCATTCTGGGAACTGTAGGTAACTGAGAAGGACCAAGTATGGACAGGAGGAGGCAGGAACCCAGGGAAGACTTGGCAGGGGTAGAGCAGGGAGGGGAGGGTGCAGGCCGATGTCTGTGGAGGAGCTTTGGGAGGTCCAGGCATTTTCAGACGTCTGACCTTGGTCCTTGGTCATTTCACCCAGTCAGAAAGGCCCCCATGAGCCTCCTTGCTCTTTATCCTGTGGAGGATTTGCCACCAACCGTAGCCACTCAGCATCTGCAGAGAGCCCTTGATGGACAGATCCCAACCTCCCCGTCCCTCCTGGGTCTCCATCCCAGCCCCCACCACCTGTCCTCTCCACGGAGCGTCCATCAGCGGTCTTCTCACTCAGCACCCAGCCCTCACGTCTCCTCATTTCTGTCCTTCAAACGTCCTGCAATCCAGGGCCTTCTTGTTCTTCTCCTGTCGGGATTCCCTGTCCCCAGCTGCCTGCCTCTGCTCCCTGATTGTCCCCCTTCCACCTGGACTCTGAAATCTGCTCACCACTTGGAAAACCCAGTCTTTTACTGTTATTATTTCAAAATTAATTTCATTGTCATATGTTAGATATCCACAATGATCACATACATCAAAGGGCATTTGTACCTGTTCACGACAGAGCAAGATTCTCTTTCTCCCATCCCCTACCCTCCCTTGAGCCTCCTTTTCCCTCCTCATTTACAAAAGCTTTGTTTCTATTTTTCCCTTGTGTTGTCTTTTCCTCTCCTTTTCTCTCTCCCTTGTCCTCAGTTCCCCTTTGACTTGCGCATTTTCTTCCTTTTCCCGATACCTTTTATACATTTTGCTCTTTATTTACCCTTTTGGTTTCTCACACCAGAGAAACCATGGGAAATTTACACATGTGTGTCCGGTTTATTTCACTTAAGAGTCCAAATCCAGTCTTGGAAAGCAGCTCACCATGCCTGGCTTACCAGTCCCCCTGCAGGTCAGTGCTGGGCTTGGTCTCCTCATCCTCAGGCCCTGAGCTTGGCTGTCCACCTCTGAGGTCGCCGTCTCCTTCGGGAAGCACCGTCCTCCTCGTGTCCCATCCCCCATGCCTCTACCTCTGAGCTGTGTGTCTGTTGGTCCCTTCTAGGTCTGTCTTATCCTTCAGGGCTCATGTCCCCTAGTGAATCTTCCCTGGTGGAATTTAATCTTCTCGTCATGGAATTTATCTCACTGAGTTATCACATGTCCATTTATTGCCTTTCTTTGCTGGGTAGTTTTGCTAGGTTCCCAAACATTCAATAACTTTCTTACTATAACTTTGACACTCTATACACGTTTCCTGTAACAGGTGGATTAATCCACCAGGAGTTCCACCACAGCTCTTTGCCCTGTGTGAATCCCCAGGTCCGGCTGTTCCCATTGTGATTTCGGCCTCAGCTGCTGCCGCCGCCTTCCTTCTCCTTGTCCTGCTCCTCTTCCTCCTCCTCCTCTGCCTATGCAGGCGTCGGGCCAAGCACAGTAAGTCCTGGGGTGCACGGGCTCATCTGGAGGTGTGTGGGGAGCGCTGGGTGGGCTCCTCCCAGAATGATCATTATCTCTGTAGGGGCTGCTTGTGATGGGACCAAAGGCCACACGAGGCACAGCAGGTGGGAAAATTTGCCCCCGCAAAGTTTTAAAAACCAATTTTGTACGATTCCTGGACCTAAGTTGACATTGATGTCTTCTTTCCCTCAGCTCCAGCCCACCCGTGCAGATCCAGGGAGAAGACACAGGTAGCAACCTGAGAAGCACAGGCCCCTGGTGGAACGGGACCCGAAGGGTGGGCCTGGGAGGCATCCAGGGCCAGCAGAGAGGTGGACAGTGCCCCCTTGCTCTGTGACATCTCCGTCCTCTCCGGGGCTTCAGCGGGCCGGCTCTGATAGGGAACACAGGGCTGGTGATTGGAAGCCGCCTGAGACGGATGCCGCTCTCTCATCTTTCCACGCAGGTGATGGCTTGCAGGACGCTGAGCCTGAGGCGGACAGACAGTGGGACACACAGGTGAGCCCTTCCCTCCGCCTCCTCCCTTTGCAGCCACACCCAGGCATTGCTGCACACCTTGTCTCTGGACGCCAGGTCCCTGCGGCGGCGGCGGACCCACAGGAGGTGACCTACGCCCAGCTGCACCCAACGAGGCTCAGGGCAGGTGTGGACCCGCTTCCGCCCCGGGACCCTGAGCCTCCATCCACACAGCCCTGTGTGTACGCCACCCTCACCTTGTCCTGAGAGCGCAGCTGGAGCGGCTGGCGTGGACGGTGCGCCTCAGCCCGGCTCCGCAGAGCGTGCCGCCCACGCCCCGCAAGCCCAACGCTCAGGCTAGAGGCCCTCAAAACCTCAGGAGAGAAGCGCTGTCAGCTGTGAGGAAATTCTGGGGCTCCTCGCCCTTCTCGGGGCAGATTCCAGACTCACCGCACGTTCACTCCCTGGCTGCGCATCCACCGCGAGCTGACGGATGCCGACTCTCTCCTCCGACCTGTGGGGGTGGTGTGCAGATTAGCAGGACCTGGGAACCTACCCTTTGCCGCGGGAGGCGAGCCTCGCGATCCAGGCCTCAGAGCGCGAAGCGGGGGCGCCTGCCGGAGCACGTGCAAAGACTCTGGGTTTCTGACCGGCATCGCCATTGGGGTGTGGGTAAGGGGACCCCCGGGCGCCAAGCGGAAGTCAAGAAGCTCGCGGCCTTCGCCCCGCGGCTCGGGACTGCGGCGGTGCTGCGGTAGCACGGGAGCGTGGGCGTCCGCGAGGAAGAAGCGTCCGCTTGTTCGGGGAATTCCGAGAGGAGAGCCGGGCGGTCGCACGGTAGCTCCGTTTGTAATTTCTGCAGGGACCTTCATCCTGTCTTCCATACCGGCCTCGGCGGGGAAGGGCTCCCTTGTCTCCACCCCGCACCGACCCCTGTTTTTCCCCTCTGTGGGTACCGACATCCTGATGGGCGTGGGCGACACTGCCTGGTGGTTTGCTTTTATTTTCATCCGATGGTTAGTGCTGTCCCGCACCTTTTCCTGTACCTGGTGGCCAGTTCTAGGCCTTGTTTGAAAAACTAAATAAAATTCAGGTCTTTTGCCCGTTTTGAAATAAGATCATTTATTTTTCTGCAGTTGAGTTGTTTGAGTTCTTTTGGTTACTAGCTCCTTATTGGATGGAAAAATGGCGAAAACGGTGATGCATGCATACACGCATGCAGCATAATATTGTCCTGCTGCTGAAACACAAGAAATCCTGCCGTGCGGCAACACGGGCGAGTCTCGGAATTAGACTACGGGAGGCGACGCTAACTCAGAGAGGCAGGCAGTGCGCGATCGATCTCACGTCAGTGTGGGCTCCCACAAGGAACAGAATAAAACTGCTTACAGGGAGCAGCACAGGGGGACACGGGGGACGGCGGTCGGCGGATCCAGCTAGCGCCTGCGTGGGATGAGCGGGCCTCCAGGGTTAATGTACAGCGTGCTACTGGAAGTATTTTACTGTAGCTAGGAGTTTTGCTAAATGAGTAAACTTTACCAGCATTTGCCACACACAGAAAAGTAGGTAACCACGGCAGATGAGGGGTATAACCTCCTTCACTAGGGAACCACTTTCTTTCTAGGTGTGTCTCAAAAGCAGACTGTACACTTCAGATATGTCTAGCCAGCCAGGCGTGGTGTGCGCTGCTGTAATCCCAGCTCTCCCGGGCACTGAAGCAGGAGGGTTGTAAGTTCGAGCCCCTCTGGGTAATTTAGCAACTTAGCAAGACCCTGCTACAAACAATGAAAATAAAAAAGGGCCGGGGATGTAGCTTAATGTGAAGACCCTAGGTTCAGTCCCCAGTGCTGCAAACAGATATGTAGCAAACTTTATAAAAATAAAAAAGAGAAGTGAGACTGCAGTTGGGCAAGGAGGAAGTTCCTAATGGCACTGAGGTGCAGTGTTCTGGGCTCTGCCGAGAACTGAAGCCTTCAGGGCAGTGGCAGAGGGAGGGAGCATTTTTTTGGGAGGCAGCCAAGTCACAGAGCAGCACTCTCTCCGTTGTTGCCCTGTCCCCTTGTAGGAGAGAAACCCGGCCAAGTTGACAGGAAGGCTTTTTCTCAGGGAAAGGAGTGGTATGGAAGGTGTCTGATGGGGGAGGGGATCATGGTTTCCCTCCAGTCTTAACAATTTCCCCAGTTTGATTATGCAATAAAAATAAATCGCAGACAATAAAAAAGGAAGTGTGAACAAGAGGAGAGGAAGTAGTGTTGGTACAAAACACAGGCCATGACTAAGTCTCAAAAGAAAGGGTCAGAGGAGACAGGCATGGTGGCTGCAATGAGATGGTGCTGAGGCTTGGATAGGGAACGGTGAAATAGGGGAGAACTGGGCAGGTGTGTGGTGGAAGCAAAGCAGAAGGGAAGAAGGTGGCCCATCCCGGGATGGGGGAAGTGACTGATGCTTGGCGGGACAGCTCAGGTGCTGGGTCGGATGGGGTAAGCCCGGGTGATTCAGCTTCGCGATCACATGCGCAGTCATGAAGCTCCTCTAAGTCAGAAGGACCCCAGGAGTTTATAGCAGGGGCAGTGCTGGCTCAGAGGAGCACAGGAGAGGTCAGCACCATTAGGGATCAGAGAAGTGAAAATTGCGAGACCACCTTACTCCACACCCGCCCCTCTGATGTTCTGAGGAGCTGTAACTGCACACCCATCCGTCGTGAGGTGATCTTTCTTCACACCCGTCTGTGCCGAGGTGATTTCACTCTGTGCCCATTCCTCCTGAGATGCTCTTACTCTGCGCCCGTCGGTTTTGAGGTGATCTTACCTAGCACACCTCCATTCTCAGGGGTCTTACTTCACATTTATGTGCTTTGAAGTAATATTGCTTTGCACCCATGTGTTCTGAGGTGATCGTACTCCACGTTCACCTGCTTTGAGGTGACCTTACCCTGAGCTCATGCATTCTGAGGTGATCTTACTCTGAGCTCATCCTTTTGGAGGTGGTTTTACTCTGCTTATTTGTCCTCAGGTGATCTTCCTCCATACCTATCTATTCTGAAGCACCATGTGGTGATTTTACTCTACAGGCCTCCTTTCTGAGATGATCTTATTTCACACCCTAAGGTGATCTCACACACACCACACATCCACTCATGCTGAAGTGATCTTACTTTGCAGTGACCTGTTACAGCTCAGTGGGCCCCCATCATGTATACTGAGGTCTTAATCTTTATTACCTCAGAATGGGGCGTTAGTTTGAAGTAAGATTCTTAAAGGCACAGCTGGTTAAATTGAGATGATACTGGAGTAGTATGGACACCTAATCCAATAGGGTTTGTTTTCTTATAGAAAAGGAGACTTGGATTCAGACAAGGAGTGTGCCAGGGTAGGGCTGATACCTGTAACGCAAGGAGTACCAGAGGTTACTATCAACCCTGGAAGCTGGAGGGGCTCTGGAGCACATTCTTTTCCACAGCTGCAGCAGAAGCTATCTTAGTTGCAGACCTCCAGACACCCTTGCTGGGAGACAACGTATTTCTGCTGTTTGGGTCACCTGTTTGTGGCACTTTGCAACAGCAACCTAGAAAATGAACACACTGTTGGAATAGCAAAGAGTCGGAGGTTTGATGATCCCAGGTTCAGTGTGGGGCCCTGGTGGGAGAGAAGAAGCTTGGGTGATAGCCCCAGAGTGCAGTTTGGCAGGGATGGGATGAAGGATGTTTTATCCTGAGTTGGGGCCCACCAGTCCCCTGCTGGGTACAGGCAGTCCTGTGCCACAGAGCAAGGTGAGCTCTTGTCTCATTTCGTTTGCAGCACTGGGGATGGAACCCAGGGCCTTTGCACTGAGCTACATCTCCAGCCCTTTTTATTTATTCTGAGACAGGGTCTTAGTAAGTGACTAAATTGCCCACATCAGGCTTGAACTTTAATCCTTCTGCCTCAGCCTCCCAGAGGGCTGGAATCACAGACTTGCACCACAGTGCCTGGCTCCTGAGTTGACATTTTGGTCAACAGCAGGCTGTAAATACAGTGGTGTTCCCATCAGATTATAACAGAGCTGAAAAACTCCTACTGCCCAGCGACACTGCATCCATCATAACCTCGTAGACAAGGTGAGGCTGGTGTGAGCAGACCGAGCTGTGGGTCGTGTAGCACACACGCCCGTGTGCAGCACATGATGCTCACTGATGATAATAAGTGACGAGGCTGGTGTGTCGCGTGTTCGCTGTAGCTTTAGGGCTATTTTAGTTTACGGCCTCTGCTTACACTGAAGGAGACACCGACTGTGAAACAGTGAGCCCCGTTTCACCGGCCACATGCTGCGCCCCCCACTTAGCATCTCCTGACCGCACCGGAGAGCATGTGGGTGACGAGCTGAGGACGTGCACTTGGGGCTGTTCATGCGATGGGGAAGTTGCGTAACAACAGTCCTCAGGACGTGTCCTCAGCATGGAAGGACGTGTGGCTGCGTTCTAAACACACCCGCACATTTGTCACTAAGGGGGGGTTGTGTGGGTGACGTTTAGCTCAACAATGGTAACAGCGGAGACGTCTGGACACAATCTGGCTGCCCCTCCCCTGAGGGCGTTGAAAGCAGATGACTATCTTGTCGATGTACGGGGAGACCACACAGCACCACCCAGGGACGGAGGAGGGTTTCCATGCCAGCGTGTGACTTCTGACGACAACATTCACGGCTGGGGGTGAAGCTTGTGGTGAGCGCTTGCCCACCCTGGGTGAGGCCAGGGCTCCATCCCCAGCACCACAAAACAGGAGAAAGGAGGAGGAAGAGGATGAGGAAAAGAATACAATGTACATTCTCAAGATACAAAATAATGGTCCTCTGTCCATTTCTTAGAGTAAGAAAGTCCAAATTAAAAAATGGTCTCATCTCATTTACTTGTAACGCTTTCAAGTTGCTCTTGGAGATGGAGAAAAGAAATGGGAACTTAGGGGCACAAGATCAACCAAAGGAGAGAAACTTGGCCTTGGTTGGGTGGGCAAGCTCTAAGCCACAGGAGACCATTACTGTGCCCTCAGCACCCAAGTTCTACCTCGGAAAAACGCGCATCTGAAAACGGGACCAAGGCAGCACTCACTGTTCAGGGTTGTGTGGAGGTGGATGAAATAGTGCCTAAAAGTGGGTAGCAGAACCCCTGAAATAGGTTAAATTGCCAATGCTGTGATTATGATAAAATTAAGTTAAACCAGATGTGGTGGCACATGCCTGTAATCCCAGCACTGGGGAGGCTGAGGCAGGAGGATTGCCACGAGCTTGAGGCCAGCCTGGGCTACACAGTGAGTTCAAGGCCAGACTGGACTACATAGCAAGACCTTCTCTCAAAGAGACAATAACAAAAACAAAAAAGTAGATTACCATGGGTGGACTGTATGGTATGTGAAGTATATCTCAGTACAGCAATTTTAAAATGAGGGTTAAGCCAGTGTACTGGTTTGAAATATAGAGAAATGTGCCTTTCTGGTGTTTAACTTTAATTAAATTAAATGACTTATTTTATGTAGGTTTATTTTATTGCTATTAACTTCACTGTTATCTGCACCTATCACAAAATGTTTTTTAAATAAATACTTCTAAAAGGAAAAAATTGGAAAACCTTCCGTG